TTGACATATGGCGAGCGTTTGATGATACAACTGATATTTATGACCTACACGACTTAACGTTATATTATATAGAAAAGAAAACTACTATACTAAAACGGACAGGAAGAATGCTATTTAATAAAAAATATTGCTTAATATATGGTGTATTTTTGAAACAATTAGATAGCATGACAAGAGAACGAATTAATATTTTATACTTTAAACAACCTTCATTCATTCACAAAGTTGAACATAAAAATATTGTTAATGAACTTTGGAACACAAACATTAGCGAAGACAATGAAGAAGATACATGTATAAAAAAACTGATCGCAAATGTTAATTATGGACTTTTAGAAAAAGGGGGAGCAACTGATCAGAAAAGCACAGTGTTTAAAAATCTTAAGGAAGCTTTAAACTATCAGGCAGAGTATGGAGGTAAAATGCATAAATTAACACATTTCACGACAGAACAAATTACAGTAGATGAAGAACAATATACAGCAGAAGAAGAACAGGCGTCGTATTATATACTTAATCTAAAGGATACATCGCGCTTAAGGAATGGTTTTAGGTATGTAAAAGAATTACTACTTCAATATCATAATTTTAGAATGTATCAAGATTATTCTAAATTATATCAAAATGGCATTAATGTGTTCAGTGTCAAAACAGATGCATTTGTAATACAGCGATCGGATATAACAAAAGCAAGAGAGCTTTTAATCTTTAATAATGAAATAGGAGGATGGAGAATTTCAAACGACGAATATATAAAATTTCCTACTGTAGATTATGAAATTACACAAAACGAATTAATACAAATACCAGTTTATGAAAGTAAAACTATTGATATTGTAGATGAATATGACACAGATAATATTATAGAAATTATTGAACAAAATAATCCTATTATGATTCGTGGAGCACTACCAGGCACAGGAAAATCATATATATGTCAAAAAATGGTTGATAAAAATTATAATGTAATTTTTATTTGTCCTACTAATAAACTATTACAGGCATTCGAAGGCGAGGCAATGACAATAAATAAATTTTTCGGTATTAATTATGGAGATGCTAAATTAGAACCATTTGATTTTACAGATTTTGATGTTATAGTGTTTGACGAAGTTTATTTTAGTAATTTAAATATATATTGGAGAATAAAACAATTTGTAGAACAGAATAAGCACAACAAAATTATAATAGCAACAGGAGACACTAAGCAATTAAAACCAGTTCAAGAGATAACAAATACTCGAGACTATGAAGTATATACTGATAACATTATAGATAACATTTTTGAATATAATATTTTGTTAAAAGAATGTAAGCGACTTAACACACAGGAAGATAAAGATAAACTAAGAAATATTAAAATTGATATTTTTGAAAATAAATTACCTATTATGAAAGTTATTGAAAAATACTTTGAATATACAACTGACATAAGCAAATCTATCAACAACATAGCATTTTTAAATACAACTTGTAAAAATGTATCAAATGAAATTAGAAAATTAGAAAATAGAAAAGACGAATATGAAGTAGGAGAATTTTTAATTTGTAGAGAATATACAACAACTAAAACATCAGTTTTTAATGTAAATTTCAAATATAAAATTGCTCATATTGGAAGCGATGGAATTTTTACTTTAAAGAATGTTAAAACTGAAATTCTACAGTCTTTGTCAGTTGATAAAATAAGAAGTAATTTTATATTTGCATATTGTTCGACTTGTCATTCTGCCCAAGGCAGTAGCATTGATGATACCATAACAATTTTTGATTATAACCATTTTTTGGTAAAGAATTATCCAGAATGGATATGGACAGCAATTACAAGGTGTAGAGATTTAAACAAAGTCAAATTTTATAAATATACGAAAGATATTGATGATGTATTTAATCAAAAATGTATTATGAGTTATTTTGAAAGGAAAATATTAAATTACAAAGAACAAGACAGGAAAACCAAAAGAACAATACCTAAAGAAGGTTATGTAAATGCGCAATGGTTTTTAAATAATATCACTAATCAATGTAATTACTGCGGATGCGGTTTTTCTATGGATATTAAAAACGGTAATATAATGACAAATCTGACAGCGCAACGTAAATCAAACGAGTTGTCGCACGAACTGAATAATATTATTCCTTACTGTGTTAGGTGCAATTGTAGCTGTAAATGATAATAATTTAAATAATATTTTAATATTTCTTGTAAAATGTATTTAAAGAAATAAAAACTATATATATTATAATAGAAATGGTTGAATTTACAGAGAAAGAGCAAGAAGAGATTATTAATAAATTCTTGGATGACTTAAACAAAAATGAAACAGAAAAGATTCTCAAACACGAACTATCCAAACATAATTACAATTCATCACTATTACTTTATTTGAAGTTGCCATTCAATGCCATTAGGTTAATCAAAGAATATGGAGAACGTAAATGCAAATGCGATAACTGCATTCATTTGAACCAGACAATTGACCACGCGAATAGATATTTTAGTGATGTCTCTACAGTATACTATTTTAATGAGTTATATAAATTCCCAAAGGAAGAAGAATTAAAGCTACAGTTTAATTTGGCACCAAGCAGGTTTAAGAAATACAGATCTGGATTTAACAGTTGTTTACATGACCCTACGCGTTTAAAACATTTTGTACCATCAAGTAAACTGAAAGAATTTAATGACATACTAAAATACATTCATGAACATAATTTTACCAAATATGAACATATCAAATTAACTTATTATCCTGAACTTAAATTATAATCATACTAAAATAATAACATGTAAAATATTATATGTTATAATTATATTTCAATATTTAATTTTATTTCTTGTAAAAAAGTATTTAAAGAAATAAAAACTATATATATTATAATAGAAATGATGGAAACCGAAATCAATAATTATATCAATAAGAAATGCTACGATTGTTGCCACTTTAAAAAAGAAAATATGGAATTATATAAATTGAATTTACCTAATGGAATAGTTAATAATATTATTGATTATTCTTTGGGTAGAGAGAATATGTGTAGGCCATGTAGACAATGGAGACGATATCAAAATACAATAGAAAATTGTTTGGCGTTTAAAAATATAGATGAAAGAAATGTTGAAGATGAAATATTGATATTTTTAACTGTGTATGAAAGACCACATTACGAGTATGTTAAACAGTTTCTTAAAATCAGTAAGAAAAAGTGTGAAATGATTAATGACATATTATGGATGTTGATTTATTATAGTAAACCCGGCGTTGATGTAAAAAAAGTCATAAAATCATATATTGAAAGTGAACAGTTTAATGTTAAAAATACAGTGAGAGATATAAATCTTATTTTTAAAATGATGTATGAAAGAGGTAAGATATATCAATTAAATTATTATCCCGAACTTAAATTATAATCATAATATAATAATAACATGTAAAATATTATATGTTATAATTATATTTCAATATGTAATTTTATTTCTTGTAAAAAAGTATTTAAAGAAATAAAAATAATATATATTATAATAGAAATGTTATTTAATTATTCAAAGTGCGAATGTTGTACAACTAAAAGGAATGATGTTAATACAACATTGTATAAGTTATTACCCGCCAATCTATGTAATAAAATAAGTGAATATGATGTATATTGTAATCAATGCTGTAAAACAAGAGACCTTGAAAAGTTGTTTGTTGAAGAACATAAGGATGAGGGATATACAAAGTTTCAATTACAATTGACATTCTTTATGAGATATCAAAAACGATGTCCTGTATGTTTTTACCATAAAATTGCTAGAAAGTCATTTGAAAAAGAAATTAATGAGTTCTTTAATAATAAAGATTTAATTAAGAGGTTTGGAGGGACAAACGCAATTAAACCATATAAAGCATTTGTTAAAAAATTTCGACGCATGTTTGATGCGATTGATTGGCATTTATTAAGTAAAGATAAAATAAACGAGGTCTTGAATGAATTTAGAATAACTAAATATCATGTATGGTCTTACTACAACACTAAATATCAAGTATGGCTACTAGTTAATTTGTTTTTCTGGGAATATATTTATTCAATAATAGGAAAAGACAATATCAAATATATAGACATTGGTGATATTGATGAATATGTAGATTACATATTTGAAGACATTTTTCCTGACTATAAATGTAACCCATAATTATTAACCATACTATGATTATAACATTTATACCCTTATATGTTATAATTATAATGTAAGTATAGCGTTTTATATATTGAAGATAAAATCCTACAAGGTGGGCCATGCGCAACTCCGGAATATCCAAATTTTGAAAAATGATTACTTATTTGTCTTCTCATTGAATTATTGAAAATGTTGTTTCTTATTGAATAATTCTTCTTAAAATGATATATATATATTTATCTCTTTTGAAAAAATATATTTTCTAAAATATTTTGGAAACTATGTGTTTTTGAAAATGAAAATGTTTAGGTGTATTGAGTTTTTCAAAAAATAATTCAATTTTTGTTTTGGTATGCAGTACTAAAAAAATATTTATCAAAATGTGTTTAGACTGTTTCAAAAAATGTTTTAAAATGGCTGTTTTGGGGCGCTTATTCAAAAAATGCAAAAAATCCTAGGGTGGACCCTAGACTTTTGAGTCCGAAAAAAGTTGCGCATGGCCTTCCCTAACTCTTTTGGGGGCCCCCTAATCCTGAAAGAGGTCTTACTGCTTGGGACAAACCAAGGACAGGGGCTAGGGTTTTGGCTGGGTCCCATGAGCACAACCACTTAGCATTTAGACCACAGGAGAAACCATCAGCTTAAATCCTCACCAGCCATGAATCTGTTGATCTTCAAAGCTCTAACCAGTCATAACCAGGCAGGACTGAGAGCTCCCTTGATCTCCGGCTAGAAAAAAATAACCAACCAAAATTCAGCGGATTGCTCCCTTGACATCCGGCAGGAAAGAAAAACAAACCAAACTCAGCAAATTGCTGCACTTGATCCGTGACGTCTCCTCCTGCACCGGCTCTTGTTTGAAGGCGACCCCTGCGCTTTTCCGCCTCGAGCATGGAGCTGGGGGAACAATACAGCACCCTCCTGACTGGACCTGGTTTCCTCTAAAGGGATTCCAAGTGGACGAAAGGGTAACAGTGCACAAGCTTTCTGAAAGGGGCCCCCTTTTGCCCGCCGGAAAAAGGGGCACTCCATGATAGAAGTTGCTACAAGCCCACCAAGCACTCCCTCCTGAATCCAGCGTTACACCGACCCTGTCTTTGGAGTGGGAGAAACTCCAGCAGGGAGGGTGTCACCTGAGCCATTTCGGAGGGCATCGATACATTGGACGCGCAGGCGCTTCTCCCAGGCGGTCTTCAACTGTGCACGTCTGTTTTTCCAACACGACGCACGGCCAAGTGCAAGTCCTGCGCCTTGCCTTACACCTTTCCTGAAAACCCCAACTCGGAGAATCGACCCCTCAGGTCACACAATGGCACATGCCAAAAGGAGTTCCCTATTAGAAAGGCCTATGGCCAGGGATTGGTGCCTTTCAGGCTGAACAAACAGAAAAGGCATACCAAGGTCTCCAAAGGCCAAAATTATACCCAAGCTTCCCAGAAACACATGCATCGCCCCACTCAAAGTCTGACATAGTCCCGAAACAACCGTGCAAAATCTTCTTTGGTGCAGCCATACGGTCTAAACCACAAAAGGGGCTTCATAAGGCCTGCCGACAATGCCGCAAGTAGACAAAAGCCATGCACCATAGGGACACAAACACCCGGGAATGGCTCTTACAACCTGCTCCGAAGAGGTTCTGATCGAACGGTGTTCATCGAACCTTTCTGGCCCCTTGCAAGCGCAGTTCGCGCCTGAAGTGACCTCTCCAAATCTCGGTTGCTTTCTGCTCCCCTGCTAAAAGTTTAACTTTTAGCTGTTTAATGGACAACTCATTAGTTGGCAAAAAGTTGAAGTCCTAACATCCAAGCAAAATGCACCAAATACATGTAGGGAAAACGGGTGACAACGGTGTAGAAGTCAACTCTGGATGGGCCATTTTTTCAGATCGTTCATCCATCCCGATTGGGATATTGTCACAGGGTGCCCCGGGATGTGCCCCAACCATGAACAAACGTTTGCACAAGCGCATGAATCTATAGACAGGGTATCCAGCATTTTAGGGCCAAGTGGCGTCACCGCCACCTCCACAGGGTCCGGCGCAAAGGCGCCAGGCACAAGACCCAGCTCCTTGACATCGTCCCCCGCCTGGAAAACCCATCGAAGAGGTGGGGTCTGTGTTGAATCCTTGCTTTTGTCCAACACGTCCAATGAACCTGGCAAAAAAATCACCATACTTGGAATCAGGCGTCTGGATGTGCAATGCAAAGGAAGCCCATTTTGGGCAGCTGATTGAGGGCAACCCCCCTGCGAGAAGAAAGAGAAACATACGGGCATCATGAGAGGTGCCCAAATGGGTAGCCTAACCCCAGGTGTGTGGTCTCCAAGCTTCCCTTTTTGGTGAACACTTGCGGTCCCAATCCACAAAGGGTATCTCTCTCGGATCCCCGAATTCGAAGATGGCCTACGCTGAAGCCACAAATAGGGAAATGGCCCACCCGCAAGAACAAGTCGGGGGGAGGTGAATTCAAACTGGGGGCACCCTTTTCCTCTGCTGAAAACGAGGGGCCATCAAACTGGGAAGCTCCCCCATGTTGAAGGAAGTGCGACAAGTTCTAGGGTCCTGGGCTCCTCGGAAACACGTGCTGCACTCCGCTTTTGTCTTTTGAGTTGACCAGTTTCGGGGCAGAATCCATCACATGCATCAAGGCACTGCCCACATGCTATTGGCAACGTTCCAGGGTTTTCGGCGCCGGTGGCCGGACGTCGTGGGCTTCAAGGAACAAGTGAATCCGAGTTCCTGGCTGCAAGTGTTTAGTGAGCTCCTTAGAGGACACGTGTCAAGACCCGGCAACCTCTTTTGGGCATTTGGAATCTTCGCACGCTGCTTGCGCCCACCACTTTGGGCCAACCCGCCTCGCTCGCCTCACTTCCTGGGCTCTCCGCCTCTTTCACCGAGCTACGAGCAACCGAGGCAGACTTTCTAGGCGAAGAAGAAGCAGAGGAGGGTTGGCCTTCAACCTCCTGAGCCTTCTGGCTTTGCTGGCTAGGCCGCTTCTCTGTAGGCGCCTCAGCCTTTTGGCCTTTAATCTCCTGAGTCTGCTGGCTAGGCCGCTTCTGTGTAGGCGCCTCCGCTTTTTTGCCTTCAACCTCCTGAGCCTTCTGGCTTTGCTGGCTGGGCCGCCTCTCTGTAGGCGCCTCAGCCTGTTGGCCTTCAATCTCCTGAGTCTGCTGGCTAGGCCGCTTCTGTGTAGGCGCCTCCGCTTTTTTGCCTTCAACCTCCTGAGCCTTCTGGCTTTGCTGGCTAGGCCGCTTCTCTGTAGGCGCCTCAGCCTTTTGGCCTTCAATCTCCTGAGTCTGCTGGCTAGGCCGCTTCTGTGTAGGCGCCTCCGCTTTTTTGCCTTCAACCTCCTGAGCCTTCTGGCTTTGCTGGCTAGGCCGCTTCTCTGTAGGCGCCTCAGCCTTTTGGCCTTCAATCTCCTGAGTCTGCTGGCTAGGCCGCTTCTGTGTAGGCGCCTCCGCTTTTTTGCCTTCAACCTCCTGAGCCTTCTGGCTTTGCTGGCTAGGCCGCTTCTCTGCTGGCTTTTCTTTCTCTGCAAGCACCTCCGCTTTTGGTTCCTCTGTCGTCGCATTCTGGCCGCTGTCCCCTTCTGGGAGTTGCTTCTTTTCCCCTGTCTCCGCTCTCTCCTGTGCGGTCTCCTCCTCCTCCTTGGGCTTTTTCCCCCGCCGGTGCTTCTTCTTCCCTTCAGCTTCTTGCTCCCCTTCCTCCGGCCAAGCCTCTTCCTCTGGCCAAGCCTCAGCAGGCGCAGCCTCAGCAGGCGCAGCCTCAGCGGGCGCAGCCTTGGTGGGCGCAGCCTTGGTGGGCGCAGCCTCAGCGGGCGCAGCCTTAGCGGGCGCAGCCTTGGTGGGAGCTTGCTGGACAGCGGCCGTGTCTGGTTTCTGGGCCTCGTTGGAGCGACCCTCAGTCAAAGGCGCGACTTGCTCTGCTTTAGCGTCGTCTTGCTCCTCTACCTCCAACCCCTTGTTTCAAAATGCTTAAACTGTTTGACTTTGGGTCTTCTTTTGCCCTCCCACCGAAACATATTTTGCCTTACCCGCCTCTTCCCTCGCAGCTTTGCCGGCCTGCAACTTGACAGCAGCACGGCTGCGCTCGTCCTGAAAGGGGCTGCAGCCCAACCCCCGGAGCGCTCCCAGCAGGCTTCCAAGCGAGAGAGGGTAGCAACGAAAACAGAATACTCACAACGACAATGCCACTGTTCTAGGGGTACCTTCCCCAATCTTTCCAGGGATCCTTCTTTCTAGAAAACCTCCGGAAAGGGACAACGGCCGGTTTTTGGAAAGAACGCTGGTTAAAAAGAATGGGCCCAAGCTGCCCCATGTCAGCTGGACCTCAATTCTGGGAGTTCTAATTGGTTGAGTCCCCCATGCAAGCCGCGCCCTACAAACCAAAGACGGGGGGGAAGGCAACTCAAAAATGAGGTTTTCTGTGCCCTCAAAACCCAGCAGCATGTTTTCTAGATGTTGGCCCAATTCACCCGAACTCTGGTTTGGGCCCCTCATAAGACGAAACTCACCGGCTTAGGGAGTTTCAAGCCCCCCCCCCCCAGCACCTGTAGCTTGATACGCTGCCACGAGTTCTATTCCTTTGCTGGGGTTGGAGAGGCTTTGAATTTGATGACGCCAGGCGTCTTGGGCAGATATCTGGCTTGGCACCTGTTCATTACTCTTCAGGGATCGCTCGGAATTCACCCTTTCACACCACTACTGCCTCTATAGCACGTCGACAAGAGTTAGCACTTTCTACGGGTGTGTGCACATACCCCTGCATAGCTGCCCCTGTATAGCTGTTGTTCATATCCTGCTCCCGGAAAGGGGCATAACCCCATTTTAAAGTGATTGGCACGAGGAACCCGTATAAGCAACAAGGGATAGGTACTTCTCTCAACGGCCATAGCTGTCCAACCTACGGCCCATCTGCTCCTATGTCCTCGGTTCCTCCCGAAACGGAACCAGCCAAAGCCATGAGCGATGCGCCATGAGCCATGAGCCCCACCCCTCCTCCAAGGGGTCGGGCGGGATTGTCCTCAGATGCGATGCTCGTTTTGGGCGGGATGGCCAGAAAGCCGGGTCGGTCACGACTCGTGTAGCTGGACTGGTGATTGCGCCGCGCAAACAAAAGAAACCCTTCAAGATGGGACACACCAAGGTGGGAAAGCTTCCAGAACTTGGACTTGAAGCCCAAGCATCCGTGATACAGCTGCAATCGCACATGGGATAGAAGTCCGGGAAGCACAAAGCTGCAATGGTCTGTCGCTTTCACCCGATTCAAAAGCGGCGAGAAAGAACAATATAGTATACCCTCCAACCAGAATCCAGTTCCGCCAACGAACATGTGAGCGGCACTCCCGTGAATGCAAGGAACTGTACAACTTGGACACTGTCCCCCAAGAAGGTTACTGCAAAGCAGACATATCAGGTTGGACCTTGAATGGTGATTTGGTTTTAATGTTATTGTTCAATCGACCAACCCAAGCCAACTAAGGGGAAGCTGACCATAGATGCTAGCTTGCCAAGTACCCTACCCCTTCAAGTAGCAAATGCAGGCAAAACAATCTTGCATTCCCCATATTCTGTCATCACCCGTTGATGGGATCTGCAAAAAGTGCAACTGCAACTCCACGTAAGACTCCCCAAAAGTGAGGACCTTCTTCAAGGCTCGCCTAAATGGGCTAATGGGATACCAGTCAAGCGTGCCACTCTCAGAACCACCCTTAAATGTTTAACATGAATGATATCAATCCTCGAAAATATTTGGAGAACACCCAACCAATTGTTCATGCGCTTCGCAACGCATTTGTGCCCTTTGATTTCTCCAATCCCTCCCTGTATCTTCAAGAACTCTATCTTCCAAGCCCAAACAAAGAAAGAAAGAAATGGTGATTTCACAACAGCCCCCAGAACCCTCTCAGGAACCCTCCCTAAAACCTGCCCCAAACCATTCCAGAGCCTGTCTGGCAGAGACCCCGGAGCTCTCAGCTGCTGGGGCCAAATCAATATCCACTTCCAAAAACAACTTTGAGTTGCAACTCCAAAGTTCACTTCCAAGCAGAATGTTGCACCCCCAACAAAACCGAAGAACCAAACAAATATTAGTATCTCTTAAAATCGTTTAAACAACAATAACAAATATTGAGAACCTGCAAAGTAAATATCAGTGCATTTTCAGACACTCAGCTTTGAAAGGGTTCTGAAAGGCGCCAAATGCATGCATGCAGCGCTTCCGCGGCGGGCGACGGGTCTTCCGCCTTGGGCGCGTCCTTGTCCTTTGGGGCTCCGATGTCCCCTCTAACCGCGGCATCCTTTTCCTTGGCCTCTTTCTCTGCAAGGTCCTTAGCCTCCTTCTCCTTGGGTGCAGGATCAAAAAATATTTACGGGATCAAAAAGAAATTATCGACACCCGGATCAAAAACAAATTATTTACAGAATCAAAAACAAATTATCTCGCCTGGAGGTGCCACAACGCTGTAATTTTCATCATTTTCGGGCAACACAGCGCGCATTTTACGGCTGCAGCTGAAAAATAGACACTTTCCAATACAAGCGCAGTACGCGAAGGTCACTTTGGCAGCTCCCGTTCGAAAATCACAACTTTTCAGATACAAGCGCAGTTCTATCAGCGAATCTAGCATCGGTTAAATGCCTGTAGGGTTGGCTTAAGGTTGTGTAGGGTTAATGTAGGTTGGGTTTCGGGTGGGTTTGGGTTGGCTTAGGTTGGTTTAGGGTTGGCTTAGGATTGGTTTAGGGTTTTGTTTACGGTGGGTGGGTTTAGGTTGGTTTAGGCTAGGTTTAGGTTGGGTTTAGGGTGGTTTTAGGTTGCGGGTTTAGGGTGGATTTAGGGGTGGTTTAGGGTTGGCTTAGGGTTTGGTTAAGGGATGGCTTAGGCTAAGTTTACGGTGGTTTAGGGTTAGTATAGGGTAGGGTTAGGGCAGGTTTAGGGTTGGTTTAGGGTTGGCTTAGGCTGGGTTTAGGGTTGGCTTAAGGTTGTGTAGGGTTGGTTTCAAGGTTGGTTTAGGGGTAATTTTGGTTGGGTTTGGGGTTGGCTTAGTTAGGGTTGGTTTAGGATTGTTTGGGGTGGTTCTAGGTTGGCTTACCCGGGTGGGTTTAGGGTTGGTTTAGGGTTGGTTTAGGCTGGGTTTAGGGTTGGCTCAAGGTTGTGTTTGGTTTCAAGGTTGGTTTAGGGGTAATTTTGGTTGGGTTTGGGGTTGCCTTAGGTTGGTTTAGGGTTGGTTTAGGATTGGTTTAGGGTGGTTCTAGGTTGGCTTCGGGTAGGTTTAGGGTGGGTTTAGGGTTGGGTTTGCGGGTTTAGGGTGGGTTTAGGGTTGGATGAGGTTTGGTTGGGGTTGCTTTAGGGTTGGTTTAGGGATGGTTTAGGCTGGGCTAAGGCTTGGTTTAAGGTGGGTTTAGGTTTGGTTTGGTAGGTTTCGGGCAGGTTTAGGGCGGGTTTTGGGTTGGCTTAGGTTGGTTTAGCGTTGGTTTAGGACTGTTTTTGGGGTGGGTGTAGGTTTGGTTTAGGGTCTGTTTAGTGTTGTTTTCGGGTGGGCTTAGGCTGGGTTTAGTGCCGGTTTATGTTTTGTTTAAGATTGGTTTAGGGTAGGTTTAGTGTGGGTTTAGGGTTGGTTTAGGGTGGGTTTAGGGTGGATTTAGGGTTGGTTTAGGGTTGGGTTAAGGGATGGTTTCGGCTAAGTTTACGGTGGTTTAGAGTTAGTATAGGGTAGGGTTAGGGCAGGTTTAGGGTTGGTTTAGGCTGGGTTTAGGGTTGGCTTAAGGTTGTGTAGGGTTGGTTTCAAGGTTGGTTTAGGGTTAATTTTGGTTGGGTTTCGGGTGGGTTTGGAGCTGGCTTAGGTTGGTTTAGGGTTGGTTTAGGATTGGTTTAGGTTTAGGCTTAGTTTAGGGTCTGTTTAGGGTGGGTTTAGGGTGGGTTTAGGGATGGTTTAAGGTTTGTTTACGGTGGGTGGATTTAGGTTGGTTTAGGGTAGGCTTAGGTTGGGTTTAGGGTGGTTTTAGGTTGGCTTAGGGGAGGTTTAGGGTAGGTTTAGGGTGGGTTTAGGGTTGGTTTAGGGCGGGTTTAGGGTTGGTTTAAAAGTTGCGCAGGGTTGGTTACAAGGTTGGTTTGTATGTTGGTTGGTTTTGGGTTGGTTTAGGGTGGGTGTAGTTTGGTTTAGGGTCAGTTTCGGGTAGGAGAGCAGGCCAGGAGACCAGCAGACCAGGAGACCAAGAGACCAGGAGACCAGGAGAAGGAGACCAGGGCATCAGGGGAGCAAAAAGCAGGAGAAGACACCAGCAGACCAGGAGAGCAGGAGACCAGGAGACCAGGAGACCAGGAGACAAGACACAGGAGACCAAGGACCACCAGCAGACAAGACCAGGACCAGGAGACACGGGGACCAGGACACCAGGCAGACCAAGACCAGGAGACCAGGAGACCAGGAGACCAGGAGACCAGGAGACCAGGAGACCAGGAGACCAGGAGACCAGGAGACCAGGAGACCAGGAGACCAGGAAACCAGGAAACCAGGAGCTAGGTCTCAATAATTTGTTTTTGATCCCCTAAATAATTTGTTTGATCCCCAAAATAATTGTTTTTTGATGCTCGTCCCCTTCTCCTTGGCTTCTTTCTCTGCAAGGTCCTTAGCCTCCTTCTCCTTGGCTTCTTTCTCTGCAAGAGCCTCCTTCTGCTTGGCCTCTTTCTCCGCACGTTCTTTGGCCTCTTTCTCCTTTGGGACTTAGTGCAGTCTGAGGCATGCGCTGACGACCTTTTGTTCCGGGATTTCTTTAGGAATTTTGGGCTCGGCGCGGGTTTCGGTAGAGGGTGAGATGGAGCATGGGTTGGCGCAAGGTAGGGTAGGTGGTGTTGTATTTAAAAAGTATACTGGGGGGGGGGGTTCAGGGTGCTTCATTGCTTGCTTGCTTGCTTGCTTGCTTGCTTGCTTGCTTGCTTGCTTGCACGGCTGGCTGGCTGGCTGGCTGGCTGGCTGGCTGGCTGGCTGGCTGGCTGGCTGGCTGGCTGGCTGGCTGGCTGGCTGGCTGGCTGGCTGGCTGTCTTGTGCGTGCTTGCTTGCTTGCTTGCTTGCTTGCTTGCTTGCTTGCTTGCTTGCCTGGCTGGCTGGCTGGCTGGCTGGCTGGCTGGCTGGCTGGCTGGCTGGCTGGCTGGCTGGCTGGCTGCTTGTGCTGCTTGCTTGCTTGCTTGCTTGCTTGCTTGCTTGCTTGCTTGCTTGCTTGCTTGCTTGCTTGCTTGCTTGCTTGCTTGCTTGCTTGCTTGCTTGCTTGGCTGCTTGGCTGGCTGGCTGGCTGGCTGGCTGGCTGGCTGCTTGCTTGCTTGCTTGCTTGCTTGCTTGCTTGCCTTGCTTGCTTGCTTGCTTGCTTGCTTGCTTGCTTGCTTGCCCGAGGGACTGGAAAAAACTCCCAATCCAGCGGGAGAAAAAAACCCTAAATAATATAGCACCCCTCATAAGCTATCAGATTGGCTAGTTCCATTGCGCGGCTCGCACACTTCCCCTTTTAGCTACCATAGGCAAAAGGGTCGAAATAAGAGAGCTGTCTAGACCTCCCCAAAAGAGTGAAAGCACAAACGGAGATCTGTCTCACAATTTCCCCGCTCAAAGGGGCTTGATGTATCAAGCTTAGATATTCTGAGGCCCTGCCGACATGAGTCGGCCCTTTCGGCTCCTGGGACCCCTCCATGTCCCAGTCGCCAGCTTAACACCACTCCCCCAACACCTCAACTTGCCGCGAGAGATGCAGGGAATGAGAACCGGAGTCCGACCCCAACCCATCCAACTGTTGATTTCCTTCCAGAAAACCCTTGGGCCCGGGTGCATTCAACCACATTCCCTAGCGATTTCGCTGGAGTTCGCACCATGGCCCCAAAAAACGGAAAACCCAAAACGGGGCCCGGCCCCACCACCGTCTCCACCACCGTCTCCCACCATGGCCAGCTCAAAAAACGGCCGCAAAACGGGGCCCCCGGCCCAACCCCACCGTCCCCTCTCCTTGGCGACCGCCTCCTGGCGCAGCTTCTCGGCGATGTGCCGCAGCACCGACAGATGGGCCTCGCCCTGACCGCAGCCCAGCTCCACCTCCGCCAGCTCAGCGCCTCGGGTTTTGACAACGGCGCCGAGCGCGCCAAGCCCCGGCTTGGACCTGGGAAGAGGCGAACGTCTACCTCCACTTGCCGTTATTTTTCTTGTTTTGTTTCAGCCCCCTGGATTAAAACGACAACATATGTCCAACAGTGATATATATATATATATGCCCCTTTTGACACAACAAGGGGGAAACAAGACATAGTCTTAGGCGAATGGAGGTATATCAAATAAGAGGTGATCACCTTTTGCGGCCATGAGCAGTCGAAACTTGGGAAACCAAAGGTCAAAAAGGCCGGTGTTGGGCAACTGAGTGATTCTAGCGGTCCAGGGTTTCCACCCCCCCCTCCGTTCTTGTTGGTTTGTGAAATATAGAAGGGGTGCAAATTTGCTTCATGAAGCTGGGGCGGTGGAGTGGTTGCAAATAGATTTCATGAAGCCGGGACAAGTGGCTTGGGGTGGTGGAATCTGGGAAAAATGGCTTGGGTTGGCTTCTGAAAATGGGTAGGAAAAGGAGCAGGACTGCCAGTGTAAGAAGGATAAAAGACATAGATGAAGATATAAATAACCATAGCAGGGATCTATTTACTATGCTAGGGAATCATGGTGTCTGTTTGGCTTCCGCAACGAAGAGGGTACATGGGAATGAAAAGGGGCCTGCATCCATTCCTCTACCGACGGAGATTTGGTGTGCCCGAACACAGGCTCATACCTAGGGGTCGGTCTCAAGAGTCGACCCCTAAAAAATGGTTGGTGTCCTTTCCAGTTTCCCTTCAAAGCTGACCAAAGGGTCTAACCGATTCAAGTGCCCCCCTTTCTTGGAGTGGTTTCCCGTTGCTTTTAACCAAAGAAGATGCCGAAAGAGGCACATCTTCCCCTCCCCTCTCAAAGAAACGAGTAGAAATAGTATCCCCCCCCCTTTCCCTTCCCCCCGCCTCCCTCCCTTCAGAACTGCTATGGCCATGGGTCAAAAGCCCGTACCTCCAGTGAACATCCATGAACATCCCAATTCCCACTAAAATAGGTTCTAAACTGGGTGGTGAATTCACCTACCCCAGAATGGGATCTCAAAACGGATTTGACAACCACAGCCAAATCCACTTTTTCCGGGTTCCTCGTGACCACAGACTTCGTAAGGGCACGGAGCTGCTCCACCGTCTGATGCTTCTGGAGCAGCTCCTGCAAGCCCGCGCCGACCCGAGCGACTCGACTCGAGGCGCTCGGGACGGTTTTTTCCCCCCTGTCTTATCTTGGCTCATTTTTTGGAACCCCCCCTATTTTGGTTTTTTAGGGAAACACAAAGTGGCACCCGTTTTTGTGGGTAGCTCGTTGTGCGGATTCACTGCAAAACCCCAGATGCTTGGAATGCTTTGTTGTTTTTTACCTCCAGCACCCTCTTGCCGAACTCCTTCACTGGATTGGCCCAAACAAGTCCAAGCTTTGCCACTGACAGAGACCTTCCCCAAAAGTGCAAAGTCCAGAGACTCAAATCGGTTGCGGCCGGAGCTTGAGATCCTCCAAGCACTCGGCCGCTGCCTTCGCCAGCACCGCCTCACGAAAGGTCGAGCTCGTTCCGCGGTCAGGGGAGCCAGGGGGCAAGGCGGAAGGAGTGCTGGGATGATGGGGATGATGATGCTGATGATGAAGATGATGATGATGAATATTCAGGATAATGATCAGGATGAGGATGATGATGATGACGCTGATGAATGATCAGGATGATGATGAAGACAATGATGATGAATGATAGGATGAGGATGATAATGATGATGAATGATCAGGATGATTATCAAAAATGATGATGATGATGATGATGATGATGATGAATGATCAGGAAGATGATGAAGATGATGATGATGATGATGATGATGATGATGATGATGATGAATGATCGGGATGAGGATGAGGATGATGCTGATGATCATGATGATGAATGATGATCAGGATGAGGATGATGATGATGCTGATGAGGTGGTGGTGTTGATGAATGATCAGGATGATGATGCTGATGATGAAGACGATTATGATGAATGATCAGGATCAGGATCAGGATGAGGATGAGGATGAGGATGAGGATGAGGATGATGATGATGATGATGATGATGATGATGATGATGATGATGATGATGATGAATGATCAGGATGATGATGAATGATCAGGATGAGGATGAGGATGAGGATGATGCTGATGATGATAATGATGAATGATCAGGATGAGGATCAAAAATGATGATGCTTATGATGATGATAATGATTAGGATGAGGATGAGGATGATGAGGAAGGATGAGGATGATGATTATGATGAATGATCAGGATGAGGATGAGGATGATGATGATGATGATGAATGATCAGGATGATGATCAAACATGATGATGTTGATGATGTTGATGATGATGATGATGAGGATGATGAATGATCAGGATGATGATGAAGATGATGATGATGATGAATCATCAGGATGAGGATAAGGATGATGAATGATCAGGATGAGGATGATGATGATGCTGATGATGATCAGGATGAGGATGAGGATAAGGATGGTGCTGGTGATGGTGATGGTGATGGTGATGATTATGATGATGATGATGAATAATCAGGATGAGGATGAGGATGATGCTGATGATGATGCTGAAGATGAAGATGATGATGAATGATCAGGATGATGATGATGATGAAGATTATGATGATGATGATGATGATGATGATGATGATGATGATGATGATGATGATGATGATGATGAATGATGATGAATGATCAGGATGAGGATGGGGATAAGGAGAAGGCGGATGAGACTCAGCATGAGGATGATGATGCGGATGAGCAAAAACCGAGAGGATGGGGACGAGGGTGACGGCGAAGACGAAGACGACGTCGAGGATGATGCGGCTGGGAGTGCACATGCCCAACTGGGAAGCCTTGATGAGAGAGCTGCGCCCAGGCCCAGCAAAAGGCCATGAGTTGGAAAACGCGGCTTCTAGGAACGGGCAGAAATGAGTGCTACACGGCTACACGTTCGACTGCTACGTGTGAGGCTGTCGCCCTTGTGTCACTTTGCGAGGGGTCTCCTATCCGGAAAAGCTTTTCGCCTATCTGCCATGCAATGCACTTCTCAGACCCTGAATACGCTCCTAGTCATCATTGGGGTCCACCCTGTAGAACCATCCGTTACGCTTTCCGCATTGATCTAGCTAGCCCTTTTCGGACGTCGTGTATGTTTCATGTCTAAAGGCCAACGTGTTTGCAAGGCAGGGTGTATGGACATCCTGTTGCCCTCACCAGGAGACCACATAGTTGAGCTCTGACAAGTTGAACCACCCTTTTTGAAAAGCGGGCCATGCCCATTATGCTTCATCTCTCATCACTTTTAGATGGGATTCACCCGGAATCACTGGAAGTGGCAACCTGAAACCAAAAAAAAGTCTGTCACAATCGACACAAACAACTCGTTTCCGGCTCTCATGTTTTCGAGTTCTGCTTGGGGTTGTGCCCTTTTCCGGGCGCCTCCTTGGCGCGGGCGCCAGACAGCTGGCCCCGCAGGTCCTGCAGCCGCCCGAAGAGACTCCTGCCGGGAGGTTGGGGAGGGGGGAAAAAAAGCCCGGAAAAAAAGAGAGCAGAGGGTACGAAGAACGCAATACGTCTAACAATGCGAAGCAGAAGTGAGTGCATAAACATAAAATGTAAGCAATTGTGCCAAAAAACCGTGAAATGATAAACTGATACTGCATCAAGTAAAACAAACAAACCCATGAAACAACAAACGTGTATATATATATATGAACAAGCTCTGCTGGCCAGCGGCCAACTGACCCCAGCACTCACCAACGACGGGAAGTGTCTTCTTGCCTGGTCTTGACTGCCCTTCGTGTCAGGCCCTGCAAGAATTTATGTAATTCTTGTTGCTTTCACTTGCTTTCACTGGAAATGCAAAAGAAAAACCCAACTCCCCTATAAGCGACCTAGTCTATCTAGCTGTGGTTCACAAAAATATGTACCCAACCATAAAAACAAAAAAAGCCTGGCTTAAACGGAGACCTGGAATTTGATTTCGGCCCCCTCTCCCTTGATTTCCGCCCCTTCCCATCTGATGACCGCCCTTCGACTCGCCTGGCCCGCATGGCTTCTTCCGGCCCTTGGGCCTCGAGGTGCGGATCCTGGCGCGCAGCTCCGAGAGCTCGTCCAGCTGCGCCAGGTGCACCAGGCCTCAGACCGGGACGTGCCATGCCCAGACCGAGGTCTGTTTCGAGGGAGGAAGATCCATGTGTAGGGAACAGGAATTCAGCTGGGGCAAATTGAGGCGATCCGGTTTTTGGGGTGAGACATGGGCAAGCCGAAGGGAAGAACAGGAATTCCCGCCGGTTTCACGCATGGGCAAATGGGTGGAAAGCCTGGATTGTTGCGAAAAATGACAAGCCAAAGGCCAACAATCAGAGAGGCAGTTCTTACACGGGGTTGTGCACTTTTTGGTCGTGTCCGGGACCCGGTGTGGCGCTGTTTGTAAGGGAGGTTGTCTTACCACCAAACTCCAAACTCACCCAAGTGCTAGCTTTAAGGTCTGGTTGTGTTGACTGGAGCGGATGCGAAGTGGGCATCATGGCCACATCGTGCAACCATGACCAAACGTTCTCTCGCATGTCCACTCAAAACTTCTTCGACGGGTCGTTAAAAGCAATCACAGCGCAAAGCGAAAGCAACATAGCAAGCAAAACACACACACACACACAAACCAAGTCCGAAGGAGCGTCGCAGCTGTTCCACCACTGCCCGCGGCAAGCGCTCCGTGCGCTCGGGAGCGCGCTCGGAGTCGGATGGGCCGACGGCGACGCGCCCGCGCCCAGCCATGGCGACATGATGCAGCCGAAAAAAGCTGGGTTGGCTTGGGGTGGGTTTGGGATGGGGTGGGCTTGGGGTGGGTTGGGGGTTTGGGCTGGGCGGGGGGAGGGTGTTGTGCGCTGAGGGTAGGCTTAAAGGACCACCTTATGGATCTTGCCTGGAAATGGGCCCCAAAAATGGGTCGTTCGGGTAATTAAGTCAGTGTGCGGATTTTTGGGGGATGTAGGATGCTTGCGGGCAATGGACATCTTGCATGGGTTTGAGGGGGCCCGCGTGAGCAAATAAATGTTTTCATTCGAAGCCAGAGCGCTGCCTGAGGCCAAGGATTGCTCTTCCAGCTAACTACTTGAGGTCGCATTTAGGCCAGGATAAAAGCCAAGAGACCTGGCGCGACCTTCCAGTGGCTTCACGTGGCCGGTGACCTGGTCTTTTGCTGGTCCTTGAACTCAACTGCCAAGGGCGGGGGAAAGAGGTGAAGCTGCAATCACAAAAGCTGGCTGCGGGGACCAGAACTGGCTGTCCCGAACCGGAAGCCAAAGGGCTGCAGCACTAAATAGGTTTCACAGCTGGACAAGTGATTTAACTTGGAGACTGCCCCCCCCCCCCAGCAGTGGACGATAAAAAAAAAAAGCAACTCCTTGCGCTCCAAGGGCCGCGTTGCGCCACCTACGGTACAGGCTCCACACATCAACAGCTCGGGATACACCATGAAATTGTTTGGCACAGGGATGCGCAAACTAGACTTGCCACCCTGAACACTGAAAATGGATAATGGACGTGTTTTGGACAAACTGAGTGAACCAACAGCACACGCACACACTCACACACTCACACACACACACACACTCACTCACTCACTCACTCACTCACTCACTCACTCACTCACTCACTCACTCACTCACTCACTCACTCACTCACTCACTCACTCACTCACTCACTCACTCACTCACTCACTCACTCACTCACTCACTCACTCACACACGCACACACTTGAACTGGCCCAATACGCTGCTTGAAACCACCCAAAGGGAGCAAAGAGAGACTTGTCGCGGATTTCGGAGGGTTCCTTTCTGAGAGGGCATCAATTGCCCGTGTGTGTTGGAGGGAAACCAAAAGGACATGGGATGCCCCGAAGATCCGTGCGGTGAAGCAAGCAAATTTCGACCGTTCCTTGTGTTGAGGTTCGAGGCAACCCACTCTGGATCACTCTGGCCTGTTCAAAATGCGGGGGTTGCACAATCCATGATCCTTACAGGGAAGCCACTACACAGGGGACCGGTTCCTTGCAAAACCCAAGGTGAGGATTCTGGATTGCCTTTTAACAGCCCAGCCAACTGTCCTTCCCCTGGTCAGCTTTTGATTCGACCGCCTCTCGGCAGGCTCCATTGGAGATCCGGCCATCCAAAAGCTAAGGGCCCGCGCCCAAGCAGGCAGTGGAGGAAAGCGAGGGGTCGCATTTTCCAAGGCGACTCCCGGTTTGCCAAACGTTGGGAGAAAAAGGTCTGCCAAAATTGGAGAACCCTCTCACCAAAAAAGAGGAGTCAAATCCCAAAAAGGGAGTTTCATCAGGTTGCCCGCCTCACGGTGGAACCTGACAATTTTGCTCTAGGGACCCCCTAGTGGGTTCCATGTTGGTAAGGTATCTGTGTCCTGCCTTTGTTTGCGGCGTATGCACTGATTCCTTGAGTTGACTGCCACTAACTCACTCGTTAAACACCCAGGGCCCCACCCCGGAGCGGTCCCAACCCCAACGACCATGGCGCTATTGGGTTGGTCACGTGTCAAAGTTCCAAAGTTCCTAGTCCGACAAACCGTGGGCTTTCCAACTCCTTGGGACACTTCCCTGCTGAGCTGGCCTTGAATTCATGCACGCGCGCAAGCACTTGGAGCATCCCCTAAAGCGGCTTGACCCATTTTTACCGGGGAACCCACGGCAAAGAAGGGCACCACCGAACCGGGGAGACCCCTGAAAAGCCGCTGCATTGGTACACCACTTCTTCGTCCATTGCGCGTCTGGGGATCTCGGAGATTGCGCTGGACTCGCGGCTCGCGCCCGACGCCGCGCGGGCGGATGCGGGCGACACGGCGGCAGGCCGTGGGAGGCGTGGCAGAACAATGAAATGGATCGAATTGGAAAGGGCTCAAGCTAATGGTAAGAACATTCTTTTGGGGTATTCAAGGGAGACCAAAAGGAAAACCCTCCCATTCTGGGGCCCCTATTGTGAATTAATGGGCAGGCTGGAAATACAAGCGTCTAGTTGATTGACAGCGGGTCTTTGCGGAAATCCACTCGAGTGGGGAGGACTGCAGACAATAGGTGAGTGTTCAATGGATCGAAATCTCCGGGAGATCTGACCCTGCATTCGGCATAAGGGGGCATGGATGTAAGGCTCACTGCATCCCCTCTGCACTTTGGCTGGGAGGGTCTCTTCACGCTAAGCCTGGCACCTTCAGAATCTTGAGCTCGTTTTAACCCTACCAGGAAATCTGCCCCACTTCAAGAGGGAGGGGACCTGGGGGTCCGTCTTCACCGAGAAACAATGAACGGAATTCCAGCCGCTTCCCAATTCAAAGCTGAGTTGAATTTTTCAAGGGGCGGGCACACCCCAGTTTCCATCTGAAATGAGTGTCAAGTAAGGATGCATGGACATGTGCGGTTCCCTTAGGACCCCTTAGGGGAAAGAACGAAACTATGGGTTGTTTGGCACTGAGGATGGGTATATGCCTCCAGTCGTCTAGCCCACTCGCTCTGATCGCCTCCCGCGTTTCTTCGGCTCCATCTGGAAACCCTCGGAAATCCCCGCGCTCGCTGATCCCGTGAAAGACTGCAACACGGCCACGCTTGATCCGCCAGGAGGTCGAAAATTGTCGGACCCCTGAATGCGCACAAAGCATCCATAATGCCAAAATGCCAACACCCGACTGGGGTGACACTCTTCAAAGTCTTTTTTCATTCGGCTTTCCAGGCGAGAAAGTGAGCTCGCCAACGACCCTGGGCATATGTGCAGAATGCCAGCTGAAGGCGAACAAGCCAAAATCACTGCACTACATCACCTGCCAATGACAAGCTTTGATCCTCCATCCCAGGCTCTGTCTGTAAAACGAAGCGCTGCTCTGTGCAGCGCCCCCCCCAAACACGTGCAGGTCTCCTTACAATGCGCCACCAGGAACCTAACCTTCGAACACCCTGGTGTTTCTATCACCGACAAGAAAAATATTGGACCCCCGATGAACAGAACTGAACAAGCATCCTTTGAGCATGAGATTCCGGGGGCCGCCCATGCCATGGCAGGCTCCATGTTCGTTCCGCGGGCGCAAAGAAAAATACTTGGTCACACGAGTGGGCCCAAAGGTGAAACCTTAGCCTTGAAAATGAAGTGGAAGCCCAAAAGGGGGTTAAAGATCTGGTGCATGAAGTCTGAGGAAAGGACTAGTCGAAATCGACGCGAGCTCAACCTCCCAATCCCGACCGACTCTTGGATTTTGCCTTTGGCCCGCCCTCAGACAGGAGCCGCTCACCTGAGAGACGGGACTCGATTCGGAAGTGGCCCTGCCAGCGTTCGAGCATTCTTGGGCTTCGGCCGAAGCGCGAAGTGGCCAGCGCGAAGGAGAACCAAGTCGCACCAGATTTTTTTGGGATTCAGGCAACTCGCATACAAGCACCGAAGGCCCTCGAAACACAATTTCCGAAGGTCACAAGTTTGGCCGATGGCCAAGTATGGCCGCATGTGACGGCACTCTCCACAAACCCCTTTTGCATTCCTATGACAACAATCACTCAAACCTCCAGTCGTGGCAAAGCAAACACGGACACTTTTTGGTAGTTGATTCTAAAGGGGAATCCCTCCGAAAGTTTGTTCAACCGAAGAGGTCAAAAAGCCACGAGGTCAGAACGTCTGAGTCTTCATGGCTTTCCCTCCTACCCATCTGTGAGCTCGAAGCCCATGACAAAGCCGCGTATTTGTGATACCGAAGTGGGCCATCCCTATGACTACTGTACAACTTTGGTCCCTCTTGGTATCCCAACTTTGGCAAGGATCTTGCGGATTGCCTTTAAACAGCCCCGCCAAAACAAAAAACAGCGGACCCCTAACACAGATTCCGGCTTTCCTATTGGCCTCGCGTTGAACCAATGTAAAAAGGGTACCAACCCCCCACAAATCCCAGCAAAGTGACCTTCTCCCTTCAGGACCCCGACACGTTTCCCACCAAACTTGGACCCTTAGACTTCAACTTGTTTTTTAAGCAGCAACCACCCCCCCCCCGGGAAAAAAAACAAAACACATAATAACATAATAACAACACAACAACAAAAACGCATTTTCCCACCAAAACAACAAGCCGTCTTCAACTTTTCGCGCTGGACTGGGCACCCCCACGAGCCGGGCTCATAGGGCTCTCGGGGCTCACCGGGCGTTCCATGGCGCTCCTGGCGTTGGGTCTGCGTTTTCGGGGGAAGGTCGAAGCCCACGTGCGGTTTGGGAAACCATCAACCAGCATAACCAGCTTTGGGGGGGTTGGGGCGGGGGGGGGGGGGTTTGGGAAAGCCACATGTTGACGTCAACCATGGGGGGGGGGGTTCTAATTTTGAGGTGGGGGTTGTAGGCTTTTTGAGAAAGGTTGGACTGAAAAAGGGGGGTGGGGGCTTTTGATTGGTTGGGTGGTTGGGCTACGGCCACAATGCCGTGATCCCCTGCAAGAAAGTTTCGCAGAGGCAAGCTTTTAAAAACATATTTTGAAAAATGGGGCAGGATTCCATGAAGAAACAAAGGGCCATCGACATTGGTCCTGCAAAGGGGCAACTATTTTGGCTTACAACCACCTTTTTGGAAGACAATTTCTGGGGCAGGGTGCTTGTGGTGGAAGCCAAAGAGCAACCATCCCCATCGAAGTAAAGGAATGGGGAATCTCCAAGTTGGTGAGTACCAGCAGGGTTCCTTTCATGCCCTGCATCAAGCGCCCCCTGCCACAGGTTGGCTGTGAAGTCTATTGGGCAAATAAGCGGCTGAGATGTTCTTCTTTCCTCCTTCCAAATACCAAATTGACACCAACTCGTCAAAGGGCACCAGACCCCACTCCCCCCCCCTTCCAAAGTACCTGTTGATTGGTTTGGACCAAATCCCACGGGTTGCAACACAGCCATGCGCCTCCCCACGCGCATGCGCTTTCCCGCCCGCCCATTCCCGCGGCTGGAGCCTCACCACTCGGATGGCCCACTCTTCGGAGACCCGCGGCCCCGCGCCGCCTCGGGCGGAAAAGGCGTGGCACATGTGGCCATGGTACCGGTGAACATCATCCCAGTGGAATGGACCTAAAATGGGTGGATTCATCACCTAGCCCAAAATGGCACCATTGGTGTTGACCCACAGCCATGCTCCAATAGCCTCCTGGAACTCAAGGCCTGAAGCAGCGCGCCAGACAACCCACCCTGAAGAAGAACCGCACTCGCCTTTTTGTGGCCCAACAAGTAAAAGGTGAAACCACCAACAGGCAATCTACAGAAGCGCCTTTTGAAAGTCACCTTGGCAGATCGGTCACATGTTGGCCGAATCAGCCCATGACAGGAATTGAGTTATTTTGAGGGGTTTGGGATAGCGGGTTATGGGCGTTGTCGGGCCGCGATAGTCACACCAGGCGATCATGACTTCCTGGGCCAGCGTTTTGCAGCGGTATTGCCTTGCAGCCCCTTGTATGGGGCTCGCTTCCGCATGATCCCACGCGCTCGTCGTGCCGAAGCCTTGCTGGTCATGACATGTGCGGAGCTGCTTCCCTTCAGCTCTTCTTGAAAACCACGGCCAAAAGCGGTGCGAGCACGCTATTTGGGTGTTCCCTGCCGCCACAAGCAACTACACGTTTCAATCACACTGGATTTTTTGCGCACCCGGGCGTCAAAGCACTCTTTTTAGTATAGCTTCTTAATTGAAACTTGAAGTCTCCTTTCACAGGCGGTACTTGAACATCCCAAGCATACATGTGCGCTCCCACATCCATCAGGGAAGTTCATTTGCCGCCTCGTCCGGTACCAGGACCAAATCCGCCTGCTGATGACCCCTGAATCTCAATGAATCTCAAATACAGTTTGAAAATGCCCATGCCCGCCCTCCCCTCTGACCCATGAATTTCTGACCTCGCCCCTCCTTGGTCTCCTGGACGGGCCTTGGCCGCGCCCATCGCTGGCCCGCCCCCTTTGGGCGTCCCGGCCGGGCGACGGAGGTGTCCGACAGCCCTCATCTGCCTGGGCAGAACCAACGAAGGCGAAAATTGGACCCAACGGAAACCGGGAGAAAAACCATGGCCATGGCTCATTTCAGCCATAGGTACCCCCAGTGAACATCCCAATCCCCACTAAAATAGGCTGGTGCACCTACCCCAAAATGGTCCCATTGGTTTTGACCCCAGCCACATAAACTCGTTGGTGCCCAGGGAATGAGGGAATGATCCCTATAAACCATCCCCTGTGGCTTCCTCTCGGGAATCCCCAGCTTCATTCCCTCTTTCCCTGAGCACCAGCGAGTGAACCTAGGGAAAGGTGAAAAACCTCGAGGAAGTCTTGAGGTCTGGCCCAAATTGTAGCAAGCTGCTTGGACATAAGTTCGGCCACGTATTTGTGACCTTTACTGGTCCAGCAACCCTGGAAGAAAACAAAGCCTTGGTATATAGTTTTGGGCGAAGAGACTGGCAAACAAGAAGGAAATGAACAGTGGAATTCCACATGGAGTGGGCTTGATGCTACAATTGCATGGTCTATATGTATATGTTAGACCAAAACTTAGCTTCTATCTCTGTGGAGGTTAAAACCGGCCAATAGTCATGTACGTAAGTATTCATGTAAACAAAAACAGGCCTTAAAGAAACACGTAAAAGATCATGTGAACAATGTGTGCCTCAGTGTTGGAAGCTGGAAGCTGCATCATTTGCCATGTAACAGGCCTGAACAGACATAAAAGGCGCACAATCAGACAAGCCCATGGCAAAACATTGGCAAAAAGAAGGTAAGGCTCCAACGCGCCCCTCCCATCTCCATAACAAGCTCCCAAGGTGTTGATTGAATGATCTTTGTTAAATCCTTAGCAGCTACGAATGTTAGGAGGCTAAACATCTTAGGTCTTAAACACGTCGTTGGTAAGCCTAAGCATGCGTGAGCAGAAGCAAGGGCAATTCCTGAGCATGCTGTTGCAATCTTAGGAATGGTTCCTAGGTTCGAACGGTTCAGAACAGTTCAGGGTATGATGTTGCAATCCCTCCTGAACGGTTCAGCACGGTTCAGGGCATGCTGCTTGCAATTCTTCCTGAACGGTTCAGAACGGTTCAGGGTATGCTGCTGCCATGACTGCTGAACGGTTCAGAACGGTTCATAGTATGATGCTGCAATCCCTCCTGAACGGTTCAGAACGGTTCCTGGGAAGCTTGAGTGACGAACGGTTCAGAACGGTTCTGAACTATACGCCTGCTCTGTGCGCTGCTTGCTAGATGGGCTCCAGAACGGTTCAGAACGGTTCAGGGGCATGGGTTCCAATGCCTCCGGAACGGTTCAGAACGGTTCAGGGGCACGCGTTCCAATGCTTTCGGAACGGTTCAGAACGGTTCAGGGGCATGCAGTTTGGTTGCCACCGTTCCTCGGAACGGTTCGCGAGCACGCGGCTGGCGGTTCCTAGTCCTAGGTAAAAGGTCAGGCCGGCATCGGAACATTGAAAGCGATCCGAAATCTCAAAGCACAAAAAGGCAAAGACTTGTCTGAAATTTACGCGAAAATTTACGCAGAAAAAGGCTGGCTGAACCGTTCTGAACCGTTCAGGGGACACATTTTGAGCATGGAGGTCCGTCCGCAGAACTTGCGTGCACATGTGACAGCATCGATCGCTCCTCTTTTCCGGCCTTTGCTCAACTGGGTTTCTGGAATCGGTTCTTGGATTCCCTGGGTCTTGCGGACAAACGAGGCGAAGCCGCGGCAAAGAGAAAAAAACAAAAAAAACAACGCGCGACAGTACCACAACACGGCAAGCAAAGCTGCAAGAAGGCAAGGCTTAAACTCGTCCTTTGCAACTCCTGACTGGTTGGATCAGCGGCCACGCGGAGACAACCTCGTAGAGTCGTGTGTGCATGTGTGTTTGTGTGTGTGTGGGTGGTGTCTGTGTGTCTGTGCGCCAGGTGCATGTTAGGAATATAGACGTTAATCTTGATGTTCTTCAAGATTGGCCCTCGCAAGGTCGCCCAACAAAAAGCTGACTAAGTCTTGATTGTTGGAAAGAGCCCTCAAAATATTCTTAATGTTGTTCACGCAGCTGACATAACCAATGACCGGACATACCGGACGTTCTTTGACAAGACGCAGTGTTCCTAGTCCTCGGTTCCTACAACATCTCCTTTCTCATGATCACTAAACACAAATTGACATGTATCTTGGTGGGGGTTCTGGCTGCCTATTAGCATGGCAACGCAACCCAAGCGCAAGCATGGGCGCACGCGTTTTTGCGTCCGGAGCTTTTTGGCTTTGCCAACGCGACACATGCTCGCGAGCAAAAACTGTGGCTCGCAGCTACCAGTACGCATGAACATTCATGTCAAAGTTGTCGCGGCTCTTCCAATGGTTCATGACTCATGACGCTTTGCCTTCCTTCAGTGATATGAGCAGGTTAAATTCGCGAAGGGGAAGATTCTCGCCAATACACATCCCTGTCCATGAGGGACACTAAGTCCAGCTCACGCAGGGTCACTCAAAATCGGGCAAGCGAAAATGAATTACAACTAATTTACCTCACTATTTACCATATTATTTACGGACTCTTCCTGTTAAGGGCCAGGCCAACCAGAAAGCTTGATTTATTTACGTGATTGTTTACGCTTTTATTTTCGGGTACGGCGAAAACGACAGACCCCCTATTTATAGAGGCTAAGTTTTGGTTTAATGTATATGTAATAGTATCTGTCTCCCTCGAGCACAAACATTGTGTTGAAGGTGCCCTTGGCACCGCGGCAAGGGACGTACCAAAAAACAAGAAAAGAAAGAAAACCACCCGTGGGGTCCAACTCCCTCCGTTGACACGCCATGAACCCCGAGACCGGCCGCCGCCTGTAGCTCAGTGCCTTCGACAGTGAACAGCCAGCAAAGGCTTTGGACCGCCGCGTCCGGGGAGTTATCCTCGGCGCTTGCGCGGTGCGTGATGGTCCACCCTCTGTGATACCAAAGTGGTTGATTCCCAACACACCTTCATCACTTTATAGAGGAAATGTGTGGTAACTATGATATTTAAGGTGGGCCGAAGACTCAATTTCCACAAGCAAGTGGTGGCCGGCCGGGCGCCGGTTGGATGGTAAACCCCCCTTCTCATCGACCTGTGAGAAATCCCTCCCCAAAAGTTTGTGGAGAACAGGGTGCGAAAGGAGTAGCTCCAAAACAGGCGCTGTGTTCTCAACTTTTCTTGGGCAATGAATTTTGGACACCAAAAGGAACCAATCTCCCATTCTCCTGGCTGCAAGAAGAGAAGATGCCAATCCAACCACCGGCTTCGGTCCGTGTCCTCGCAAGCCCCGGCCTATTGAAAGGGTCTGGAACCGCACGCTTGGAAGGCCCTTTTGCCCGCAGGCTACAAGTGGTAAGCCCCGCAGGGGTTGGGAGGTGGCCGTCCATGGGGAGATATGCTTTTCGAGGCTTCAGTCCTTGCACTATGACATGATGCACAAAATCCACTTCGCACCACTTCACAGAGGGTCATCCATCCCAACTGGTGCTGGACTTTGTCCATCCGCGGAATTGAGCCAACGCATACAAGGACACAGCTGTCACTTAAGGGCCCCCAGAAGCAGGTGCCATGTTTGGTCTGACTGTGTGGGCGGTCTTGCCAGTGGGGCTCGCCCCCGCATGCCGCCGCATGCCAGCCAACGTAAATATCTACCCAAACGCACGTGGTTCAGCTCTTAGAAGGAGGGAATGCCGGGTGCGCTCGACAAAGCGGCCCAGGGCGCAGTACCCTCAAACAAAAACCACACAGACAAAAGACACCCATCTGCATAGCACTGAGAGCCAAGCGCTGCCGGTTCCAAGGGCGATCCGATCTCCTGTTTCGTTGGAAAGCAAACCAACCCTTCGGGAGGTTCACCAAAGTACCCGCCAGCACCCGGCAAGACTCCTCCATGCATTACTTCTTGAAGAATCTACGTGAAGCGGCCGGGCCCGTGCAAGACCCAAAAACGCTCGGTTTTGATTGTCTGATTCCGCTCATTTTTAGAACCAGTGGGGAAAATAAATTAACGCAACAAAAACATGAAAGGCAACAATGGAACAAAAGCAGGCAGCACTGAACACCCCTGCTTCTCTTTCGCTCTTTGGCATCGGGGCGGCGGCTGGCTGGAGGGCCCTGGCTACACACACTCAATCAGCCGTTGAAAACCACTTTGCATGTCACACCCGGTCCCTTGCACAATCAGACAGCCCCAAGCGCCAGCTCGCTCGCAACCAGCCGGCTACAGTCAGCCTGCAAAGTTGCAAATGCAGATGGGCCACTTTGGAGTACAGTATCATGGTGAGCTTTCACCTCCAAACCTTGAGCGGTTCACAGCCTGCTGGTTTTCATAAGTGCGAAAGAGTGGGTAGAATCCTTGGGCAGGACTAGCTCGTCCCAGATCAGGAATGCGAACAGCCACCGAAAGATTGATTTGGACTGGTCCCCCCTACCCGCAATATATACCAATCCTAGGGGAGAGACATGTCCAAAAGGTGGTGCATCCGCTGCCTATGGGGTGGTAGCATAGATTATCTTGGATACTTGCTTTGGCGTCGCATCCCCTTTGTGGCTTCTTTGCGGGGAAGTCAAGCAAACATGAATGTAGGTGACACGATTCCATCTCCAAGTGCTTGCTTCGCACCCCCATGGCTTAATCACGATGAACGAAACAGGGTGGGTTTGGAAAGGGAAGCCACCTCCCTCCATGCTTGCAACAAATGGCCTCGATTCTGGACAACAGAGCTATTGATCATAGAAACCAGCTACGGGCATTTCTATCAAGGAATTTCGCCACACCCTCCACAAGCAAGGCTTTCCAGTATAATTTCTCTGGTTCAGCTGGATGTTGAGGCTTCAAACCCAAGACTTCCCTGGCTTCGCGCTTAGGTTCGGGACCCCCACCCCGGAGCCCCTGGCTCCGATCCCCGACCCGACAGCTCCTGAGACGAGGTCCTCCGAGCTGTTCCGCTGCAGCTCGATCGCGGCGCCGCGCCGCAAGCGCCAAATGGGGTTGGAGGTGAGCGGCCGTATCCTCGAGCTGCCGGGCACCAACGGCGTTTTGCTGGGCAAAATGCGCCTTTCGTACGGAGGAAAGCTGAGGACTTGGAACGAGCAAGGGACGACCTGCTTTCATACATGAACCGAAGTATAGATTAAGACCAGGGAAAAAGTAGGGGATGACAAGATCAACATGGGGCAATTGTGCCATCCAATTTCAACTTTGAAGTGGTTGGTAACCATTGTTGTACGGTTCTACTCAAAACGGGGATTTAGAAGTATGTGGACCCAAGAGTTGCCCAACAACCCACTTAAAGCGACTTACTAACCCCCTCCCCATCCCCCAAAGCCCCAACCCCCGCAACCTCCCAAACCTCCCCCTACCTGGCCTCCCCAACCCCACCCCAACTCCAACTAACCCCAACCAGCCACCCATAGCCCCACAACTCCCAAACCCAGCCACCCACCCACCCCAGCCCACCCGAGCCGGTGCCCACGCTCTCCTGAAGCCCACCTCCCAGGCGATGCTGAAGTGGTCCCGGCTCATGAACCGCAGGCACTCCGGCGCCACCGCCTGCTTGTGCAGCTCCGGCTGGTGCTTCCGCCCCACGAACCTCATCCGGCAGAGGGGGCAGTTGGGGGTTGGGGGGTGAAAAAGCCGAAAAAGGAAACCACGGCCGCGCTGTTTTGGAGTGTCGTTTGGTGGTTTCCCCGGTGGTGCTCCTTCTGGATTCTACCCTGTCCTTAGCATGACCAACCTTTTTTGGAGGTGTCCTGGTGGCTTCTCTTTGAAACTGACCTCCTTCTTGACCAAGCTGACATAGGGACCGCCAAGAGTGGGGACCGTCGTGCATGAGCTCGCAAAAACCTCAAACCCGTCAAGTGACCATGATTTGCTCAAACACTCCAAATCTGGCAAGCCTTTGGCTGATTCCCCCATTTTGTCAGAACCCTTGAAAGATCAAAGTTGCCAAGGCGCAGTGTGCAGTCCGGCTGCTGGCGCAAGCACATCGGCCCGATCCGCCGCCGGCTGAGAGGCACCTGCCATGCATGAAATCCAAATGTGTCTTGCTCACTTCTTGAGTGGATTGGCCCCGAAAAGTCCGATTTGTTGTTTGTCACTGAACTAATCTAGAAACATGGGGCGTAGGCTAACACACCCAAGGCATGTACGGCTTGGGGCGTCCAGACCCAAACCGCAGGCTGGGCGGCCGTACTGCCATGCTGTCTCGATCTGGGAAACCATCTTGGATATTGCTAAAATGGAAACTAACATGAACCCGCAATGCCCATGTGTGACCAACAGCGGCTTGACATGGGCCTGCTCAAGCAACGGGACCCTATGTGGATGGCATTCTCCGTCGCCCAAACGACCCATAACAATGCAAAACGGCCCTTAACTTCAAAAAGCCCAAACCAGGAAACCAGCAGGAACATGAGTGAGCTCCCTGCTCTGGCACATTTCGTGGATCCCGCCATGTCCCTCCAAAAACAGAACACAAAACCTCGAAAATCGGGACAGCGCCGAAGCAGATGTGAGGACCCCCTCGTCAAACCGCGACGCAGCCTACGAAGCCGAAGCCGAAGGCGCCCCGGCGCCTCGAGCACTCCGTCCCCCGACAGCTCCAGTCGAAACATGGAGCTCGAAGCGAGCCTCGCGTCACGTTGACCTTTCGCCTTACAACCCTCCCTCACCCCCCCTCTCATGGAAGCTCACAGGAGGGTTTTGGAAGTTCCGGGAAGCTTGCTTTGCTCTTGGGTAAGCCGCCGGTCCGCTTGCTATTGTGTTGGACAGAGGGTATCCACTTGGTCTTCTTCACAGCCACCTGAGCACTTCAGGTTCCTTGGGCTAGCGTCGTCTCACGGGGAGCCCAGAATTCGAAGCGCCGGGCGAATGCTCAAGGCTCCGAGTGTTTTGTTTGGGCCAGGGATCCCACATGGCTGATTGCCCAGCAAATGCGCCGTGGCCCTTGCAGATGATGGCTGTTTTCCACTTGGAAATGGAACTTCGTTGTTTAGCAGGCTGAAAAGGGAGCCACCAGGATGCCAGCCTATTGTAGGATTTCTTTTTTGGACCCATTTGTTTGAAGCACAAGTCCTAGCCACAGCAAGTTTGTCACCCACTGTGGCCGCTTCACCCTAATCGACCCCGGACGCCTATGAGTCTCGGCAAGTCTTTTGTAAGACTTGTAAAATGGGAACCCTGCTGCGGTACCCGAACAATTTCATTGACATTGGCAAGAAGCTGAACAAAAAGTAATGCCTGGCTGTGGCTGAAAATAGTTGTTGAAGGAGCACGCCCTGTTTCCCCAAGCAAGGTCTGATCTGCACCCACAGTCCTCGAAACTCTTGACACCTGATGAGTAACACCCTGCAGTTGCTGCAGCTGTGAATCAAATCATCAAAGGGGTCCTCCCTGAGAGGAATCCCTAAACAAAACAAATGACCCGCCTGGATAATAACTGGGAGCCCACTGATGGTCAGCATTATCTGGCTGGTGCTCGGGGCATTTGCTCCTGCCCTTTGGCTTACCGGGTCCATTAAAGTGGCAAGTTTTAAGATTACCCTCCACATGGTGGTCCCAAATGGACAACCCTCCCCCCCCCCGCCACAAAAAAGAGAGCAGAAAACAACGAATCAAATCTTGACAAGCAGTTGAGGGCCAGGACAATCCTCAGCCACCCAATCCAACCTCGCACCCCCGCTGCCCCAGGCCTATCATCAAAGCCCTGCGCGCTCATCGGTGACCGAAGCGCCTGGCCGAACTGCGAGTTGGATTGGCCTTTCGGTCGGAGTGACCGCCAAAGTGCCCTACGGATGTGTCTGAAAAGAGGACATGGGCGTCTCCAAACCCAAAAGACCCCAAAGATTTGCGCCTCCATTTGGTTTCTCCTTTTTAGCCATCCCGAAAAGAGGTACAACGCCCCACCCAACATGGCAGCATCATGGAGCCCATCATGAAGATCCAGCTTTTCTTCTGGGATTCTCCTGCCACAAAAAGCGCAGGTTCAAAGAAAAACACGGGTCTCATCGTCTTCCCCAGCAGCAGCAGGTCAACAGGCAAAAACTTCTACATGCAACCCGCCAATGGGTGGGTTCCTTCCCCCCTTCACAGGGATCAATATGCCGACGTCCTTCCGGCCCCTTCAAATCACCAAGCACTTAGACTCGCAAATGAATTTGGCCACCGAATCGTGATGCTTTTGAACACGCGGCAAAGGGGCAGTAGGGGAATTGTGTCTTGGCAAAGTTTTTATTGCGGGCATGCGGATGGCACGACCCCAAGAGGAAGCCATTGACCCATTGTTTTGGAAAGGTAATCTTCACACAGCCCATTGATGGGCGCTAACCAACGGACCAAGTGAGATAGGCTCCCGAAGAGGACCTTTCATGCTTCAAACGAGGGCTGCAACTCCCCCCCAAACTGATCCAAACTCTTGAAAGGGTCGGACCCCCCTATCAAGGGACCAACTGTAATAAACAGGGTATGCTTGAATAGTGGCCCCGTCTAAACTGCGGCTCCAATTTCTTTCTGCTTTCCCTTTCTCAAACCCCCGAAATCAAAGGGTACTTGGGTGCTCTTGACCCCCCCTGCTAAAACTGAGTCACTTTTTGGGGGGTTGAGTGGAAAGCACCCCAATATTTCAACCAAAAAGTTGAATTCTAAAGATCCAACCCAATAGCAGTCAAGACATGGCCCCAGCTTTTGGGCCGACCCATCGGCATTGGATCGAACCATCCCGCCCGGGGCGAGGAGGAGGCGTCGCGGGAGACCTTCCGAGGCGGCGGGGACAAGGTCAGCAAATGCACCTGGCGCGCAAGCTGAATCCGCTCAAATCCGCTAGGCCCCCCCAAAAAATCCGAAAGGGCCGTGCTCAAAAGGTGAAAATCCAAGGGGATGATAATAAATGACAAAGTAAACATGAGGCAAATGAGGAGGCAATGAGCCAACTGAAGGATTATTTGACCCGGTGCTAGGCTAAATAAATTCTGCTCCGCGCTTTCCAAAAAAAAAAAACAAAAAAAAACAGGGGTGCAAGGAGGAAACCTGAAGCCTGCCGCCTGCCACCCCGGGAAAAGGTTTGGAAGGGACCTACGTGGAAGGGGTTCTTCAGAAGGATTCTGATGATGTCAGGGCCGTCAAGTGTCTCAATACGACTCGGCCAGAAGGCTGTGGAGTTGCTCCACACTGCTGCAATCTGTGGGACGCCATTGCAGCCAAACTAGTGACCATTCATTGCTTGAGGCCAGGGTGACCAAAAAACAAAAAAAGCCGAGCGTCCTCGCAAGGTCGACGCCCGCTCACTTTTTAGCGGTTGGCAGGGGAGAAACGGAACCTAACGACAGAAAAAAAGGCCAAAAGCACTGGAACAGCGCGTTGTGGGACTCACTGGCCCCATTACTCGCTAACGCAAGTCTGGTTCAAATGTAGTCTACCCTAAAATGCTAAAACCATTCTGGAGAAGACCCCAGAATGATCCTTCCAACACGGATCCGCAAAAGGCACCTCAAGCGTGCTTCCATTTGGAGAGACACTGAGACATGCGACAAATGCGGCAAACGCTCCGCTTCCCAAAAAAGAGAATCGTCTCGATTCGACTCGTGTAGTCTCTAGCGGTCCTTAGCCAGGGATTTTACTACCCCCCAAACCACTCCCAGTGGAATTTGGACACATAACATGTATGTTCATGGGCGCGACGCGGAGAC